TATATATATATATATATATATATATATATATATATATATATATATATATAGACTTTAGATGTAAGCCTCTTTCGTGTCGATACAATATTAGGTGAGCAGATAAAGGTCCAAAAGTCAGAATTAGTACCACATTATTGCCTCTCAATGTGTTACCAATTCATTGGACAACATTCAACTTTATTATCATGGGATCATCACAGTATTATCCTATAGGTTCAGCTAGTGGGTATGTATGGTGATCATGATTGATCCCACCCTTTTCCTTTGGATTTTTATACTCACAAGAAAGTTTGATCTCAAACCAAATCCTTGTAACTTATTATTTTTTTAGTTTTTTTCATCATATTTTTTTAATCTAAAAATTTAAACTAATAAAATATACATTTAAATATTCGATATATCAAAGTTCGAATAGGATCACATCCATCATCGAAATTGGATAATTCCTCACGAGCCTACGGGTTGCACCAATAGTCGACTGATCAAATTATCCCTTATCAGGAGGCTTGTACCTCGGTTGAACAAACTCGCTCTCAAGCCGTGTATCTTGGCTATGAACCCTTGGTTCCATAGGGAGCACTGTTAAAGTCATTTAGTTACATTGGTTGAGGAGTATGAGAATCAATGGCTCATAAGTCCGTCATGTCTTCTTTATATTTAAAAGGATAAAATCGTGTGGGTATGCTCATCACCCAAAGCGGATAATTCCTTGTAAACATATGGATCGTAATTTATGGAGGTAATTTGTGGCACATACTTGTTGGGTTACAAGGTTTGATGTAAGATGTGGATCATCATGCAACGCAAAAATCCTTATCACCGAATGTCTATCGGAGATCTCGTTATCCTGCATGAGATGGAAGAATTGGTCTAAATTGATGGCCAAACAAGTGCGACCAAGTCATCGATACCTTTCCTCGGTGTTGTTTTGGACTGACACTCAAAGGACGAAGAAGAAAAGGTAAAGGAAGGTTGTCTTTCCTTGGAACAGATCCCTTTTCCCCTCTTAAAATAATGTGTGTTTGGTTGAGGATAAAGAAACTTTACCTGCTTTGCTTCACTAGGAAGTATAACACCACATATGGAGTACAAGAAAAGGAAAATAAATAGAAAATAAAAGAAAAGTATGACACTAATAATATTATTAATGTTCTTGATATCGATGATCTTTTCGATTATTCAAAACTCTAGTCATATCAATATAATAAAACATTTTTTATGTAAGGAATATTCTGGTTTGAGATTCTAAATTTCTTTAATTCTCATATAAAATTTTATATTGACTTGAGTATTGAATTATTTTATCAAGATTATGAACAAAATTTCTCGAGGAAATGGCTTTAATAAACACTATAATACCTCAAAATTTCTTTTAAGTAATGTGTTTTAAATATATTCATCTTAATTTATCTTACTCTATTTAGTAATTGAATAAAGATAGAGAACTCATTTTTAATAGGGTGAGGATGAAAAAAAATAAATAATGACAAGAAAAGGTATTTTATATCACTAACATAAATAAGGGATAGGGACAAGCAGAGCATCCTCTATCTTGTATCTATACTTAACCCATCAATACATGCTAAGATGTTTGGACTAAACATTAGATAAGCAAAAATTTCGTTATTCAAATTAGACCCGATGATTTTTGATTGAATCGATTATGATTTGATTATGAACTATTTGATTCAATCGATTCTCGATGCCTCGTCAATTGTTTGTACACATTTAATGCCTAATCACAAATCACACTAAGTAATGTTTCGTCTTAGAAAAAAAAAAGATTAATCAAAATCAATAATGAGTCAGAGACAAACGCGAATCCAAATAATTAATATAATGATATATTTCAGGTTTCAATTTCGAATCAAGAGTTTGAACTCTCGATAGATATTTTGTATACCTTCAAATAATTCTCGGAATAACCATTGGAAAAAGAGAGATTTTGCACCAAAATCTTTTACGCAAGTAAGAGGAAACAACCCCCACAAGCAATCCCCTCATGGAAACAGAGTTGCTTTGATTATTATAGAAGAGCTCTATCTCTAGGATGAAGTAAAATATATTTAAATATACACCATATATCTATATACTATTCAAAATAATTTTCATTTTATTTCCTTCCTAATATTTGTTTGCTTCGATAAAAGAACAATTTTTTGGAACCAGGTTGGAACCCACAAGAAACTGATGCACAGTTCACATGTAGCTGGCACTGCCATGAGACACTGACAAAACCCTAAACCATGGATCCAAAAAGCTGCAGCATCCAACAACCATTGGCCCCATTGTCACCATCACTACATCCACCCCATGCTTTGTGCTTGATGGGGACTCAAGCTGTGCATTGATGGGGACTCAGGCTGTGACATCCTTCCTAGTTTGATCCCACCACCAAGAAAGTCATGCATATCAATGAGGTAAGATTTTGGTTAGGATTTAATGGATCTATTGCTCACAACAATTAGAAAGTATTAATCACAATATAAAGATGAAATAGTGAGAGCCAAACAAGAAGGATTACAGTTGATATGTGAGAGAAATGATGCCAAAGAGAAAAAAAAAATAACATGATAAATCCAACAAATTTTGCAATTTATGTTTTTGATTGTTTTTCTCTGGACAATGAAATTAACCATTTGATTTCACACCAATGGGGTGTCTTTTTAGTTATGGAATTTATTAATAGATACTCAATTCAATTATTTTTAAATCATATTTTTTTATTATATTAAATTATGTATAATATGTTCTTACATAAACTCAAAAAAATCTCATAAGTCTAACTAACAATAATTGTTGAGATTTTACTCCAATGGGGCCTTTTTCATATTTTTTTTTATTTTGCTGATAGATATTTTATTTGCTGATTTCTCAAAAAGTGATATCTTTATTATACTGAATTTCTAAAATACACTAAAAAAACTCATTAATATAGCAATAATTGAGGAGAAGTGTTTTTTTCATAATTTTGTAATTTATTAATACATACTTAGTTCATTAATATTTTTATTCAAAAAAAATTATTTTTATAGATTTATTAATCTATTATGTTCAATTACATATAAGACGTTCTTATGTAAACTCAATAAACTCATAAATAAATCAATAATTGATGAAAAGTGCTTTATTAATACCTGCTTTAATAATTGATAAAAATAATACATATAAGAAGTGTTTTTTTCTCATAATTTTTAAATTTATTAATACATACTTAGTTCATTGATAGTTTTATTCAAAAAATATATTTTTATAGATTTATTAATCTATTATTTTAAATTACATATAAGACGTTCTTACGTAAACTCAATAAACTCATAAATAAATCAATAATTGATGAAAAGTGCTTTTCCTTTTAAATTTTGTAATTCGTTAATAGATAGCTCAATGAATTTATTCTCTAAAAAATATGATTTTAATTTGATTTATTATTTTTAAATATCGTAAGTAATTTTGTAATTTGTTAATAGATAGATAGTTCAATGAATTTATTCTCTAAAAAAAACATGACTTTAATATGATTTATTATTTTTAAATATATTAAATTACTTGCAAGACGTTCTTACAGACATATGTAATCTATGTATGGATTGATTACCCATCAGGAAGAAGGAAGAGATCTTTTGGACGACAGCAGTGCAGTGATGAGATCCAGCCATGTTTGCCAAGTGAATCTCTACGATCTCCCACCTGCAGTTATCCTTCCCTCATCTGCGATCCATGGAGGTGTCTGCTTGCCCCAAACACAATAGCATCGAGACCGATCTCGGCACGGATCTCAAAGGACCGAGTCAATACCTCGCCCCTCGAAGCGCAAACGATCGCGTTCCTTCACACGGCAACGCGGTTGGCCCCTCGGCCTGTTGGCTACTGCGCTCTCCCCCCCTCTCTCTGTCTAAAGAAGAGAAGCGTGCGGAGGACGCCTAAACCCTACAGTGCACCACCGGAGGGGTGCAGAAAAGGGCGCTACGGGACGCGGGGGCGGCCGCGCTGGACAGCACCAACGAGCGGGCCCGTGCCCGCGGCCAATACGCTTCAGATTCCCTTCGCTACCCCTTCCCTCTCCATATCCTCATTTTTTGAGTGTCCGATCTCGTTTTGACGCGTTGAAGAGGATAAAAATTTGTTCTTTGGTTTCCTTTCTTTATCGCTCTCTGGCTCCCTCTGTTTTCTACTGTCCCTTTTGCTGACCGCGTACACTCTCCCAGGCCCACACTCCCTCTCTCTCTCTGCTCTGTGCTGTTTTCTTTCAAGCGTCCGCTTCACTCCCCCGTGTCGTCTATTCCAGAAGTTTTCGGAAAGAGAGGGAGCGGAAAGGGGAGCGGGGGAAGCGAAAAGGAAGAGGAAAAACCCGATCTTGACGCTTTTTCTTCTCTCGTCTTCTTCTTTTCGCGTATTTATTTGCATTCCGGTGGGCGATGCGAGAGAGGGAGTGATCGATTTGTTGGAGGATTTTGGAGGCGGCGGGGAGGTGCTTTGAAGGAAAGAAGGGTTTCTTTTTGATCGGTTTGGTGGGAGATGGAAACGGGGCGGCGGCTTGTCGCCGGGTCGCGCAACCGGAACGAGTTCGTGGTGATCAATGCAGATGACTTCGGAAAGGTGAGCGTGTTAAAAATCTCCGATTTTGATGAGCGTTCGGTTATTACTGGGCTTTGTTCCATTTGTTCTAGATTATTCGTACTGGAATTTGCCTACAGCGTTCGGACATGTATTTGCGTTGCGTTTCTTTAGCATTTGTTAGTTTATCTGCCCTATCGTTGAGATATGCGATCGTATATGCCCTTATAAATGTTGGTTTTGGGCAGAATAGTTCTCATTTTCTTGCAAGTCTGTTCGATCATCCTTTCTTCTTCAACGTTGTAAATCAAAACTTCTTTTTTTTTTTTTCCAGATTTATCTCATTTTCCGACTGCTGGCCACTGCCCTATCATTCCCAATACTTATTTCTTGCTTTGAAGGAACGTTCTTGTGGGTTTTTTGTGGTCTTTGTTGTTCTTGTTGATTTATAATCTTTTACGAGGTAATATTTGTTTTTCACTTCACTATGATGGGAATATAACCAAACCAGCCATGTTACAATTTTTTTCTCATTTCGGTTGTCAGCGTCCCCAGTCGTAAGTCTCATGATATTATTGGTCATTGCAGTCCAAGTCTGCCCATGATTCGAACGGGCAAATATGCCAGATATGTGGGGATGATATTGAGATTTTGGAGGAAGAAAAGGAGCTGTTTGTTGCCTGCAATGAGTGTGCCTTCCCTGTTTGCAGGACTTGCTATGAGTATGAGAGGAGGGAGGGGAGTCAGGCATGTCCACGGTGTAAGACCCGATACAAGCGCCACAAAGGTGCGAGCTTGGCATATAAACTAATTATTAGGCATCTTTGATTTTGTTTTTTTTCCCCTCGAAAGCAATGAGTTATTTGGACAAGCACATTACTGTTCAGGTAGTGCTAGAGTCGAGGGTGACGAGGATGAAGATGGTGATGATGATATCTACAAAGAACTCAATTATTACAATTTCAATGGGAAGGAAACAGTGAGCGTACCCGATCCAAAACTTTATGGATATCCCTATGTAGGACAAGGTTCTCTCAGTGGATTGGGTATTCCTTCCAATAATGTGCAGCAAAATGGTAGCAATATTCCACTTCTGACATATGGTGAAGAAGTAAGATTCTTAAATGTAAATTTGATTTGTTCTTGTTTGGAACATATTATGTTTGTAACAGTATTTTGTCTGATTAGGTTGATGGAATTTCCTGTGACGACCATGCTCTAATAATTCCTCCATACGGGGGCTTTGGAGGGCAAGTTCATCAAGGTGCTGCTTCAGGGACTTTTGCTTCTAGTGAGTTGATTGCTTTGGTCTAATGTATTGTTCTTTCTAAACATTTTGCACTCTTTTGTGTGTATACAATTTTTTATTATTTCATAACATGTTCTTTTAATTTAATTCTGCAGCACAATCGAGACCCATAAATCCTAATAAAGACATTTCAGTCTATGGCTATGGAACCGTTGCATGGAAGAATCGAATTGATGAGTGGAAGAGAAACCAACTCAGTAGAATGCAACAACATCAGCTCGAAGGAGGGGATGGTGGCTACATTGATGGATATGATCCAGCCAATTCTGATTTGTCCATGTAAGTTCAACATTTTTCCTTTTTACAGTCTATAGAAATATTTTGATTTATACTTTTTCCTCTCCATATTAAACTAGTAAAGTTATCGAACTATTCTTGGATTTTGATATTTCTTATTAACTTCTAAATTTTACTGTTACATGTAAGCTTCCTCATTTGGTTGCTTTTGATAATTACAATGAAGCACTCAAGTCTTAGTGATTGTTTTGCTTATGAGAGATCTCTTGGGAATCTATTGATGTCGTAATTCTATGTTTAGCACATCCAAAATATTAGTTATCTGCATGACTAGGATTTTGGAAGAAGTTAGAAATGGATCGGTAAGTTTGGGAGAACCTTTGTTGTAAGTAGTGAAAGTGCATACCACACTGAAAAACTATTGTGACAGATAGCTGCAGGAGATTATTAGTATTCCAATATATTGATTATTGAGTTGAGTCTGGCATGAATTGTGATGAAAAGCCATGAACTGTGACAAACATATTTCTAAGTATTATGCTGTTTGAATATTGTACCTGTGCATCCAAGTCACTATGTAGAATGAATGTGAAAAGTTTGAAACAAGTAATGTAAGATATGCTGATTTCTGGTTGCTCAAATTGGACATGTCAAATCAAATAATTTTGAGATCAGTGATGGAAATTCTGGTTCTTTAAGTATGAGCTTGTGGAATGAATTTATGAGACTGTCTCACAGACGCGCTTTGATTTCCTGGGGAGCTTGAAATTTGGTGACTCTAGAATTGTGATAAAGGATCTCTCTGGATATGTATCTTAATGTAAAGATACTTGGATGCAGCTTGATATATGGTGGAGAGGAGTTCTAATGTTTTATTAACTTGTCTGTAGCTGATGAAATACAATGGCTGATGGTTTTGCAATACGGTTTCTTTCTTTACCAGTCAGCGTGTGGTTTATATTGCTATTTATGCTATAAAGTATAGATTGTGTTTTCATTTGCCCCCTTGTAAGTGAAAAATAGCCAATTGTCTTTTTCAATGAATGTCGTTAATCAATTACTTGTCTCATGCCCTTTGTTATACATTCAATATATACTAAAGCACTTAGAGACGTGGTCTGTTGTGCTCTTTAACTAATGAGGTATATTAATCTAAGTACAAGGCATTCTACCTCATAGTTGGCCTGTAATGAGTTAGGGCATTTTTACAGCATTAAGGACGAGAGCTAAAGATGCCAACACCACAAAAGCAAGTTGCTAGACATGGTACTTTGATTGCCACCATTACTATCATAACTATGTTAGAGGAGAAGTGTTAAAGAACATTGCTAGACCTGGAGCAAGCTTTGAATATTTCTGTTATATAAGTGTTAAAGACCCTTGTTAGAGGAGCAGTGTTCTATTAACCTTTTATTGTTTATTCAACAACAACAAGCGGTAATATCTCAAATATTTGGGGATGGCTACATAGATCTTTGGCCTCAGTACAAACCATTATAAATTATTGTTATTTGTTCATTATGATCTATGATTTCTTGTTTTCTTCAAAGCAGTGATTTTATCATATTCATATTTGATCAACAATTCCTCTTCCGTTCTCAGAAGAAAATTTAGCTCTGAGTATGCTTAGTTGTAGTTCATTTGTGTTTTTAATTGTCTGAAAAGTACCATTAGCTTTGTCAGGGTTTCAATTGCCATATAATCTTTTCTTTTCATGCTCTCATGTATATTTTTCATTGAACTGTTTTAGGTCCGACGAGAGCAGGCAACCATTATCGAGGAAGATGCCCATAACTTCCAGTATGATAAGCCCTTACAGAATAATAATTTTGCTGAGGCTTGTGATTCTTGGCTTCTTTTTCCAATATAGACTTCTGCATCCTGTTCCTGATGCTTATGGACTATGGCTGACATCAGTTATATGTGAAATATGGTTTGCTGTCTCATGGATTCTTGATCAGTTCCCAAAATGGTTCCCTATAGAGCGAGAGACCTACTTGGATCGTCTCTCATTGAGGTATGAATTTCATCATCACTTACTGTTATCATTATTTATTTGGTCCTTATTTTCTTGCATGTAACTTTGTTCCTAGGTATGAGAAAGAAGGGAAACCATCTGAATTAGCAGACGTTGATATCTTTGTTAGCACAGTTGATCCTACAAAGGAACCCCCCTTGATCACTGCAAATACAGTTTTGTCTATTCTTGCTGTGGATTATCCTGTTGATAAAGTTTCATGCTATGTCTCCGATGATGGTGCTGCAATGCTCACATTTGAGGCACTTTCAGAAACCTCTGAATTTGCTAAAAAGTGGGTTCCATTCTGTAAGAAATTCAACATCGAGCCTCGTGCTCCTGAATGGTACTTTGTGCAGAAAATTGATTATCTGAAGGATAAAGTTCATCCAGATTTCGTGAGGGAACGTCGTGCAATGAAGGTTTGTGTCATTACAAGTATACTCAATATTTACTTCTGGTAATTTGTTGTTGAGTGTATTTGTATGAAACAATTTGGTTTGTCTTTATTGTTATCAACTTTGACTTCATTAAAGTTATCATTTCCATTTCATCTGTTTTATGGTCTAATATTTGCCATCTGGCAAAGTCTGGTTTTAATCCCCAAGGTTCTGGTTCGTAATATTTGTCCATATCATGTGCAACTTATTCTTATTTTTTATTTCATTCATGCAGAGAGAGTATGAGGAATTTAAGGTCCACATTAATGCATTAGTTGCCAAAGCACAGAAAGTTCCTGAGGAAGGCTGGACAATGCAGGATGGAACTCTATGGCCTGGAAATAACGTTCGAGACCATCCAGGAATGATTCAGGTGTTTCCCTGTACTATAACCAATGATATTCTGTTCCTACTAGGGAAAACCTTTTTCTTGTCTTGCAAACATTTAGATCTTTAAATGGAATTAGAGTCCATTTTCCTCTGCTAAAAGGAAGTTGGATTACATTTATTTTTTATTTATTTTTGGGAGAGACAATAAACCTTGTTAAAAGATTATTTTGGAAGCTGGTGGAAGAATAGTGAAGTTTTTTCCCTTCATTGAGAATGGTGGTTGCTTTTCGAGCATTCATAGCAAACTTGAGTGCGAGTTGCAAAGGGCCTGTTGAGATCGATGAAGGCAGCGGTTGTACATGGAGTGATATTTAACTGTTTTCAATATAACCTGCCTGGTAGCTTACACTGCTGTTTTCTGCTTGCCACTTCATTGTTATCTGTGTCGGTCCCTGCTGTCTCTGGTGTGTGCCAGTGCAAAATACACAGCATTGAATGACTGGGTTATTCCAAGTTGCATGGTACATAATTGAGGATGAGACAGCATGGCAAGGAACAAGGAATATGGGTTTTTGGATTCTGGTTTGCGACAAAAAATGTAATGTACATTAATGTGGAATTATATGCTTTACATTGATCTTTTGGTCTAATTTTACCCTGGTGTGTGCCGGTGCTTTGCAGTACTGTGTACAAAAAATGTTGTCTGCATGATTTTTTTTAAGAATTGAAAAAATAGAATTCTACACATCTTTTGCACAAAATCCTAAGAATTCTTTACCTTGTTGAAAATTTTAACAGGTCTTTCTGGGTCATAATGGTGTGCTTGATGAGGCAGGTAATGAGCTACCACGTCTTGTATATGTATCTCGTGAGAAAAGATCTGGATATGATCACCACAAAAAAGCTGGTGCCATGAATGCATTGGTATTATTACTCTCTTGCCAATTTCCTGCGTTCTGCATTACATTTCTTGTGAAGTTCAGATATGGTTTTCCCCTTTTTGTTAACCTTTGACATTTAATTGCTATTTAGGTGCGAGTTTCAGCTGTAATCTCCAATGCTCCTTACATTTTGAATGTGGATTGTGATCATTATATAAACAATAGTAAAGCTCTTCGGGAAGCTATGTGCTTTTTGATGGATCCCATCTCAGGAAAGAAAGTATGCTACGTGCAATTTCCTCAGAGATTTGATGGGATCGATCGTCATGACAGATATTCAAACCGCAATGTTGTGTTTTTTGATGTGAGTAGAAGTATTTCTTTCAGTGTTATGTTATATATAAATACATCTCTACGTTTACAATTTTATGACAGTAAATTGATGCTATTTTGCTCGAACAGATCAATATGAAAGGCCTTGATGGGATCCAGGGACCAATCTATGTCGGTACTGGATGTGTTTTCAGAAGGCAAGCTCTGTATGGTTTTGATGCTCCTGTCAAGGAGAAGCCTCCAGGAAAAACCTGCAATTGTTGGCCAAAATGGTGCTGCAGCTGTTGTGGATCTAAAAGAAATAAAAGAGGGAAAATTAAGCAAGAGAAGAAGAAAGCAAAGTGGGCAAAGCACAGAGAAGCATCTATTCAAGTACATGCGCTTGAGAGTATTGACAAAGTTAAAGGTAACTTTTAAACAACTGTTACCTAGGTGTTAAAGAGCCATCCATAGAATTTTTGTTCAGATATTGTACTTGTTGTTGCAGGACAAGAAAATGAAAGCTCATCCTTAGTGCCCCGAGAAAAGCTGGAGAAAAAGTTTGGGCAATCTCCTGTCTTTGTGGCTTCAACTCTCCTGGAGAATGGTGGGATGGCTCAGGGTGTTGGTTTTGCTTCGTGTATTGGTGAGGCTATACATGTAATAAGTTGTGGTTATGAAGATAGAACTGAATGGGGAAAAGAGGCAAGTCTTAATGTTCATGAGCACTGTTACCTGTCTGACAGATTGCTATGCATCAACTAATCTCCTTATTCCTATTTTGAATGTTTGTCCAGGTTGGATGGATATATGGATCTGTTACAGAGGATATTCTTACTGGCTTTAAGATGCATTGCCATGGTTGGCGGTCGGTTTACTGCATACCTAAAAGACCAGCATTTAAAGGGTCAGCTCCCATCAACCTCTCTGACCGTCTTCATCAAGTTTTGAGATGGGCTCTTGGATCTGTAGAAATTTTTCTGAGCAAGCACTGCCCTATTTGGTATGGCTACAGAAGTGGGTTAAAGTGGTTGGAGAGGTTCTCCTATATAAATTCTGTTGTCTATCCATGGACATCTATTCCTTTGATTGCTTATTGTACGTTGCCAGCTATTTGTCTTCTCTCCGGAAAATTTATAGTACCTGAGGTATTTCACTAATATCCATCTTAATTTTTTGGATACAATCTTTTTGTTATTATTTTTAGGGTGTATTAAGTTTCATCAGTCATTTGCTAGGGTCCAAAATGATGGCTTTTTGACAGGTTCCTTGTATTGTTTTGATGACTTTATGTAAAATACTGTGGTAACTACCTGAGAAACAAGGTCAAATTTGGTGTATTGAAAACATATTATATGTGAGAAAATATGCAGGATCAGGTAGAGACAATCTTTGGTAAAAAGACATGGTGGAAGAAATGACATTGTATGAACCGAAGCTCATTTGCTTATTGTAGTTGCCAAGAAATTATACACGTTGAAGTGTGAAATGGATCATTTGAACATAACCATAAGTTTCTAATTGTCATATCCAATTTTAAGCTGTTGTTTTCTTGTAGTTCATTACGTCTTGTTTGCACACAAATGATTATCCTTTCCTATTTGTTTTTCTCTCATTATACTTTTTTGTTAGTATTGCATAATAGCTTACATTACATGACTTTTCTGCCCTATAAATAACCAAAACTTGTATTTTGCAGATTAGTAGCTATGCTAGCATAGTATTCATGGCTTTATTCATCTCCATTGCTGCGACTGGCATTCTTGAGATGCAATGGGGAGGCGTAAGCATTGATGACTGGTGGAGGAATGAGCAGTTCTGGGTGATTGGTGGCGTCTCCTCACACCTCTTTGCCCTCTTTCAGGGCCTTCTGAAGGTTCTTGCTGGTGTTGAGACCAACTTCACCGTGACATCCAAAGGAGGGGATGATGGCGAGTTCGCGGAGCTTTATCTCTTCAAGTGGACATCTTTGCTGATTCCCCCTATGACCCTGCTCATTCTTAACATCATCGGTGTCGTAGCTGGAATTTCTAATGCCATTTCCAATGGGTATGAGTCATGGGGCCCATTGTTTGGTAAGCTCTTCTTTGCCTTCTGGGTCATCGTCCATCTCTATCCTTTTCTGAAAGGAATGATGGGAAAGCAGGATCGAGTGCCTACCATAGTGATAGTTTGGTCTATACTTTTGGCATCTATTTGTTCGCTTCTGTGGGTCAGAGTAAATCCATTCATTGCAAAATATGACGGGCCTGTCCTAGAAGTTTGTGGTTTGGATTGTAATTAGCACTTCTGGAGTTCTATGATGTCACTTTTGCAGTTGGGAGTTGCAAAAAGAGTGCCCTTAATCTGAGTCGAGGTGAATATTGTTTTGAGGAAAATTTTCATTGTACAAGACCGGCAAGAAGGGAGATTTGGTTGGTAAAAGAGGTGGAAGAAAAGAATGGTCATTGTTGGCCATTGTAGATATGGGGAGCTGGAACCTGACTCATCGCCAATAATTCACTATAAAGGCATTTTTTGTTGATTCTTTCTTGGTTCTTGACCTTCATGGCTATTCACTGTCATGGTCTGGCATTGTGTAATCTTCAAGAAACATTTGCTACTTTTGACCTTTGAAACTCATACAATTGATCATAGCCTATTTCTTCATTGTGGATTCTCTGAGCTACTGGTGCCAACTCTCACTAGGCCGCAGTGTTTGATTCTGTGACATGGTGTTCTTGTAAACAATTTCTGAAGCTTGATGAGTGTGTCATGTTCTTTTCAGTTTCCAGAAAGTCTGTGTTTTGAGCATTTCTTGAACCAAATCTTGCTGTCACAAGGTGTTGAGCTGATGCTTGTCTGCAGAGTTGGTAGCTAGCTGTTGTTGGGTTTATTCTGATGCCCATAGTAGCTGATAATACAATACATTTGAATATATATATATATATATTCATTTCAAATTCTGAAAAATATATATTACATGAGTATTCAAATTCTGAATTAAACACATCAATTTTTTGTTATATTCATTAATAATTCAAGCATCTTTCCATTAATATATTACATGTGACTATCTATTTCGATATGATTGATGAAATGGAGAGGTTATTTCCCACAAAATGCCTATCAAATTTTGAGGGATGTTACATATTTTCATACAAAATTTTGAAAAGAATGCATATTACAAACCCTATACCTTTCGTGATTTAAACGCGTAAATTTTTACCCGTTCATTGATAATCCAAACATCTTTTGATGTCTAATTTTCTTGTATCGATATGAAAGAAATAAAAAAAATGATAAAAGTGAGAAATCATTTCTTCCGACATAGCTGCAATTGTATAGTCTTCAGAGGGATCAATTTTCAATCATTTTCAATTAGGTGGTTGTTTGATATTTTTCATTTGTGAATAATTAAGTATAGACTCAAAAATAGATAAATATAAACATATGTTAAAAAGATTCAACTCCTAAGAAGTGAAATAATTTTAAGAAAAAAATCTTACTATAAATTATAAATAGGGATTCCATTTTTTAAATATAAATAAGAATATGGCTTTTATAAAATTATCCGTAGCCGATCCCACGTCGGACAGTTGGGATTTTATGACAGTTATTGTTATTGTTATTGTATGCACGGAAATCGAACGATGGTATCGATGCGTAAAAGTTCGTGAACTTAGATCAGATGTTGGGGATTAACAGCATGATCGAGCCCTCGGTGTTCCGGCGGCTCACCGAAACACTTATTTGTTGTCGGGTGTTCCGGACCACGATAAAGATCAGCGGCTCATCCGTTAGGGTTCGACGCACTTTGGGGCTCGATAAAGAGGGAAGTGAGCCATCATCGGAGCCCTAGTCGAATAAGTGTGCTTCCGATCCCATCTCACTAGCTCTGGTTCGCACGATCGAGAACCCTACGCCGCGATCGTCCTCTCTGTCGCTGTGGGTGCGCACCGCGATCCCTCTCGTTCCTTGTCGTGTTCGTTCTTGCGCGTTAGATTTGGGATCACGGCCTGTTTTCTCCCCGTCGTTTGCCTTTCCTTTTTCATTTTCGTGTAGAGTGGAAGATTAAAGATTGAATTTTGCTGCGTTTTGATTCTTTGTCGTTGGTGTTGTACCGGTAAGGTGAGGAAGAGTTCTTGAGATTGTTCTGCTTTCTAGCTTGAGCTAGAGAGTTAAGTGCGACAATGGCGGAGCCCTCCAAGGTCATTCACATCCGCAACGTTGGGCATGAGATATCTGAGGTAGTTTTTCGTGAGATACCGTGTTCGACCAATTTGTTTCTTGATTTATCGACTCAAGTTTCGCGCTGTATGCAGAATGACCTTCTTCAGTTAGTGCAGCCGTTTGGTGTTGTTACTAAGCTTGTGATGTTACGAGCCAAAAACCAGGTTCCTTTTCCCCTCTTATTATAAGTCGCCCTCTTCCATCTACCTATATGCAGCTTTCAGCCACTAATAATCCAGTTTCTATCTAACAGGCTCTTCTTCAGATGCATGATTTGAATTCTGCTGTTAATGTTCTACAGTACTATACAAGTGTCCAACCAAGTGTCAGGTGTGGGCCTGAATACTTATCCTTTTTCTTGTTTTGGGTGCTTTTATGGTTATTAACACTTTGTGAAGATGCTGCATTGTGATAGCCTATTCCTAGGATTAAGTTGAAGCATCCCCCTCCTATGAACCTTACCTAGGGCTGATCAATTTGCTTGCAGATACTCAAGCATGTCATGCAGCTTGGGATAATTGGAAAATCTAGTAATTTTTACTATATAACCCGTCCCAAACCCCCCATTCCTGCACACACCACAGACATAAATTCTTCCTTCTTGCAACATTTTCTATCATGAAAGAAAAAGTTAATTTTTGTCACTCTTTCTACAAATAACAATCACAACTTTTCAGAGATGAGGTGTCACTCAGGCTATTTCAACCATACCTTAGATACTTCCCATACCAAGGACTTACTGCAAGTGGTTCCTGCTGCTTAGACAGTTCAAGAGAACAATAAGGCAGGCTCACAAACCACCAGGAAGTGACAACATTATTCAATTTGTGATTTTGGTTATATATAAGGATTTGCAATTTTTTTTCATTGGTATACTTGAACAACTTGAAATGTTGGAACACTTCATGTAAGAGATTACTGCCAGTTGATAAGTGATCAGAGTGGAATTGTTATAATTGGTTTGTACAGAATCAATCGGGGAAAACATAAATAATATTATTAGATATAAAATTTGGCACATGTAAGAAAAAAAAATAAGTACAGCAGTATTGTTATATAAAAATTTAGAAGGAATTTCACTGGTTTTGTCTTAAAAATGATGATAGAATAATAACATTATGACTTGTTTCAGAGAAGAGATATTTAGTATAGTGTAAGGTTTATGCTTCTCAAATAGGAGTGATGTTGAATGGGAAACTGGGGAATTTTTTACAGATGATGATTTAAGCAGTGTCATGAATAGAACATGTAGGATTTATGGGAAATACAGGGTGATGGATATTTGACAAAAGAACAAAAGGTTGTACAATTAAGAAATAACATATTCACACTTTGTTTAAATTATTTTTCTTGGATGAAATTTTCCTACTTCATCCATATATTTCATCTATCCGACATTGAATCTACCAATATGACATAACATTGGACCAGTTAATATGAAATTTATAAATTTGACATTTCTGCAGTTAACACTGCTGAATGTGGTGTGGTTTTTAATCTTATAACACTGGTGTGGTCTTCTGGCTTTGAGTTCTTTATTTATTGTGTTTGAAACAAGTTAAGATGTATCCTGATTGTCTGCTTGGCTTATCAAATTATGCATTATTTTCTTTTTGTTGAGATATTATATAGATGGTATGTTATGCATTATTTTTTGCTGAGATATTATATAAGATTATATGTTACGCTGACCTGCCAATCATAGATCCAGCTATCCAGGATGTGCACCATGATATTTTTTTCCTTAAATTTATTTCTGCTTATCTTTCATAAATTATATGTTGTTGTACGTTCTGTTTTTCCCCTACTGATGAAAGATCAGTGGCTATCCATCATGTCTTGATTTGAAACATAAAGTGTATTTTTGAGATACCCATCAGAGCCTTAAAATGTTGGTGAGCAATCATTTTATTCTGGGGGTATTTTGGCCATTTATGTAGGATTGTCCCTGTATATTCTAATTGTGCTGCACTGCCTGGAAAGATGGGGTTTCATTTAGGGATATGAACCATTATTTTAGTACTGGAGCATCTAGTCTCTGTTTGACATTTCAGAAATAAACGCAAAGAACTGGCCTTCATTAGTTCCTTGGTTTTGAATAATTGAAGTATATGGGGATGCCAACAGTTTGTTCAAATGTTCAACTATGGCTTTGCAAGATGTATTTAGCAAAATATTCTTGCAATTATGTTCTTCCTTCTGTATTGTTGGTTTGTGCTGGTATTCTCATAGAAAAGGGCATCAACTTGTGCCGTTTATTCAACTGATTGATATTTTGGTTATACTAAACTCTTTCAGATTTTGAGAAAATTACTCCATTACCCATTTCTTTAGTTCTATATTAAGGTTTGAAAAGGTCATTGGTGTTGTGGGTTTAGTTCAAGTCTTGGATTTTCCTCATCCTTTGTTAGAAAAGCTTAAGCCAACTTTTGGTCATCCACCTAACCTAAATCCCATGCAGTAAACCAGGCACCTAAGTGTGTAGCTATTACAAAGTTGCTTGTTATTTCTCTTGATTTGCCTCTTTGTAAGCGAAAACATAATATTCTAGATTTATCATTTCAGTATAGCTTCGCTCTTTCAGGGAATGTGTATATTTCAGTACAAGTAGAAAGTATATGATTGATACTACTGGTTTTAAATGTAGCAAAATTTTGAGAACACCCGTCTCCATAATTATTATCATACATAAGGATTATTCACTATTTTGTTCATTCACAACAAAATATTTTCTGTATGTGTCAGTAAAATAAAATTTAGTTTTATGTAGAGAGACTATTTCACCAATTAAGCTATAGATGTTTGAGGCATTCATACCTAGTGATTTTCCACAAATTGGCGATGAAGTGTATATTTTGGTCAATTTCTACCAAGGGATCCGATTTTTGTCAGATGGGCTTTGTATCAATCAGTATTTACCGTCTGAGTGTGAACCGGCACATGGAGTGCCCAATTTCAGATGGTCCACATACGGTTCAAGGCTTACTGCCTGATAAGCCCTGTGAACTGGATGGTAAGCATTTCCCCCTTTTTTTTCCTTAATTCTAAAATACTAAAATTCACCCCTGCCATTTAGTAAATAAAATAGCATCATAATTTTGTAAGGTAGTGCACAAATATTGTGATAGTTTGATGTTACTGGAGAGAGAACATTTTGCTATACCTTGGCTTTTATGGTAGTAACATTAAAATATCGAAGAATACTTGAAAGCATATTGTATGTTGCAAAGCAATTAGATAGAAGAATTCGAACATACAAGTATATACACATGATTGTTATGCCAACCTGATCAACTTATAGGTGAATATATTATGCTCAGTTAGGTTTTCATATTATACTTGAAGGGGTTAAGCTGTAAACATTGATCCTTGGATCCCACATTGGCAGGAGCCTTGTGTGTTGGGTTTGTCTTTCTATATTTCATATTAGAACAATGTATTCATATATGTGTATATGCCTATTTACTGCATCAGTAGCCAAAGCAATTGCTTGTGACAGTAGTCTTGTCATTGTACTGCACCAAGATTTGGTTCAAAATTTACATCATTGGATTATAAACCAGTCATTGGTAGATCATTGTACATTATTGTAATGTGTTCATTTTTTTGAGATTTAAGTTACTCTCAATTCCTAGCTAGTTCTTTATATTTCTGAATTAAAAAAAATTAAAAGGAAATAACTAATTCTAGTTTTTACGATAAGGTCTCCTTTATGGATTCTGTTTTAAGCTTTCATATTCAGTGGTTTTACTAGAATCCATTTGAAACTTAGTTGTATTATTTCAGGGGAAGAAATGTTTATATACAATTTTCTTCACATCAGGAACTGACAACTACCGATTCTCCAGGGTGGAAAAGTGATCAGGTCTGCAATCAGATAATTACATTGTCCTTTCCTGAATGTCGAGGGTCCCTTGTGACTTGATATATCATAAGTCTGAATTAAATATGTACCTTTGTCTACAATGTCCAATCATCCTAACTTTACTATTGTGTTTTGTTGTCCTTTGAGATCGAAATATTTTTGTACATGTGAGTTTGGCATGTTTGGCCACTCAAAACTGCAGTCTAAGACCAAATAATGCTGTAGTTGTCATAACAGATCTTAGAAATTTATGTAAGGTATGTTAATAATCTAAAATAAAATGTCCTGTAATAGTGTAATTGTCAGAATATAAGGTTATATCGGGACGTGGCACCACCTTGATGCACATTTCGTTAATCAAATTGATGTAGTTCTCGTTAGATTAAAGTTACATCAATCAAGCTTGAGGTATTGATTAATTCTTTGGTTGAGTCCAATTAAATTAATTTTGGTGTTCTTTCTAGTTGTTCTGTTTGCTTTTATTCTTACACACTGAAAACGGGGGACTTGTTTTTATGTTATATCATAACAAGTCGGAGATGATATCTGCTGTGGTTTCAGTTCTCTTATAGCTTATTCCTGGCTTCTTGTTACTGTAGTCAGAATAGTTGTAGATTAAATAATACGGATCAGGTGAAAGATTTATTTGATGAAGAGCCTTAAACTGGTTATTGTGAAGATGTCCACATTGGTACTTGATTGAGACTGAAATGGTCAAGCCCTTTTCTTGCTTTCCTTCTATTTTTTCCTGAGCTCTGTGTGTTATGACCCCAATATTCTCCGGTTTGTTGTTAAACTAAGGCAACTGCTGTTTTCTTGTTAGGATTACTCCAACCAAACAGTTTACTTGGTTTAACCAACTGCAGTTTTCTATTAAAAATTTTAAAAATAACAAACATTTTGCTTGGTTGGATTAATCCTAACAAGCAAACAACAGTTGCCTTAGTTTAGTTTGACAATCAAGCAAGCATTTGGCAAACAAGCAAACAGCAGTAGCCACTGATCTAGTACAATATTATCATATTTCAATAGACAAATAGCAGTTGCCTTAGTTTAGCAACAAACTGGAAAATATTGGGGTTATAACACAATAAGCTCAGGGAAAATTAGAAGGAAAACGAGAAAATGACTTGACCATTTCAGTCTCAATCAAGTATCATGTGGACATCATCACAATAACCAGCTTGAAGCTTTTCATCAAATAAATCTTTGACCTCATCTGTATTATTTAGTCTAAATCTGATAACTATTCTGATTATCGTTACAGTATTATCATATTTTAATAGACAACTACTATTTGGCAAATGCAATCAATATTGTAATAGAAATTTCATCAATCCTAGAGATAATTACTGGTTTTACAATTTTTAAGATCCATTGTGATACCATTTATAACTAATGATCAAAGTTAGACAATCAACAAGGTATTACTGTTGAAGATGAAACATAGATCAACGCAACCAATTGAAGTCCAAGGAAACCCTATACATCTCTAGTTACCTTGATCCAATTGTTACAGTTGCTTCATCACACAAGGAGTTAAGAAACTTAGAACATCTCAAGGTCAAGATGTGAAAAACGGTGGCCAATGCAGGCTCCTGGCAATGTGTGATCTTTGGACGGCCAATATATGCAGCCTTACAACTGCAATCTCGAAGTCAAGATGTATACATTTGAAATGACTTACAACTGGAATCTTGAAACCAAGATGTATTCATTTGAAATTATTGACACAGGGTGGATCAGGTTTTAGGGTTTAACGTAGCTAAGGTACGTCTAAGTGTGCTAAGTTAGGTCTACTCTTTTGTATATTTCTGTAATTCTGTTGGGATTTTACTATTAAATCTGTGATGGGAAAGTTCAATGCAATTTGCTTTTGCTTTCTTTCAGAGTTTGAATTAGAGCCCACTTGAAAGAGAGCTAACCGGCCATAGGAGAATTATGTAGGAAAAAATGACCTGGTAATTTAGTGTATTTTGCATTTGTTTTGAATCTTCTCAATCCGAAGTGTTTTGAGGGACCATTCATGATTATGATTACCAAAGGTTAATTGCATGAAGTAGAAGCATACTAAGAGCGTAGATAATTCACAAAAAAGAAATATCTTTTCTGTATATGATATCTTCACGTACCCATTCACTTATATTCATTCTACTATAATTAGCTGAATATTCAATGTTTTATTCTCTCTCGAATTATTTATTTTCTACTTATTTTATTTTATTTCTCTTCCCATCATCTTTGGCGGCTTGGTGTTGGTCACTCAGGATTCACAACCAAATCGGATCCTCTTAGTTACAATTCATCACATGCTCTATCCTATCACAGTGGAAGTGCTGCATCAAGTGTTTTCTCCTTATGGATATGTAGAGAAAATCGTCACATTCCAGAAGTCAGCTGGTCAGCTTCTCTCTGAATTTTGCTCTTCCAGACTTTAACAATGTAAAATGAAATTGACAACAATTTTGTTGTCTGTACTTGGTCACTTTATTATCTTATTTCTTCTTAAAGGATTTTTTTTTCTTGTTTCTTTTACTGGTAGAACTAATTGGATTGAGCTATTCATATTTTTAATACAAAGAAAGCTTTCATAAACTTTAATTACCTCCAATCTATTGTTTTGTAGGTTTTCAGGCCCTTATCCAGTATCAGTCTCGTCAGAGTGCCGTGCAGGCAAAAAGTTCTCTGCAAGTATGTAATTGTATTCACTCGAATTTTATGATGTTTAAATGTGTTTGTATAAGCTGCTCATACTATGATTTTGTTACTTCTTCAGGGGCGTAATATATATGATGGCTGCTGTCAGCTAGATATACAGTTTTCAAAGTTAGCTCTCATAAAAATCTTATATTAACTTGGTTCTTTTACTCTGCACTTTTTGAAATTCTTACATGTTTCTTGTTTTTGTTCAAATCCAGTCTCAATGAATTGCAAGTAAATTACAACAATGAGAGGTCTAGGTATGTTATATACTTTCCCATTAATCCGGTACTGAAAAACATGTTTTTGATTATTTATTTCATTTCAAGTTGCACCAGAACAGTAAATTGTTGAGTAAATTAGCCATATAAATGCAATAGCTGATTAGTTGTCTATTTAAACTAATATCTATCACTCTTTTCGGGTATGCAAGAATTCAAGCAAATACTGTATTATGTCCTAATAAGCGGTAAGGACAAAGGTAGGAATGAAGTTAATAGAAAGTATAACAGGCTCTGTGTATGGCATCTCAACAAAAGACAGGTGTCCACTGGCAACAATTCTGAAATAATTATGTTCGCAAAACACATTTTCATTAGAGCTTTTATTTCTCGCCATTAAGTATATAATGAGTCTTGAAGTTTTCAATTTTATCTGTCTGAAGATTCTTACATACAGATTTGCTGGAAACTTGACCTGATGAAACATTTTAGACTAAATTAAGTATATAACGAGTCCTGAAGTTTTCAATTTTATCTGTCTGAAGATTCTTCCATACAGATTTGCTAGAATCTTAGACCTGATGAAGCATTTTAGTCCAAATTTTCTTGATTGGTTTATAATATAAAACTAAAGGATATAAGGTCTACTCCGCAAAACAGTGATGCATTCTTTTACCATCTTCTACATATTGTTCCTTGTCCTGATGCTTTCCAATTCCATAGTAATAGTTAGACCAAGTTTCTAGGTTACCTTGGCATTGCTTGCTTAGAATCTTAGACCCATGTTTGTTAGCATTGTGAATCTTTAAACCCTTTTTATCATCTTGTTCCCCTCCGCATTAATTGTGATTGTGAAGTGCACTTTGCTTTGATGTATAACTGTACTGTGAAGTAGCACAAATGTTTCACAACTCTGCATTAATCTGTTGGTATTAAACACTATAAAAACTGAGATTGGTAGCAGATGCTCATGTTACCTCTTTTTTAGATATCTTTTCTGAAATATGTCTTTTGTCTGTCTAGGGATTTTACAAATCCATCTTTGCCTACTGAACAGAGAGGTAGATCTTCACAAGTGAGTTGCTTCTCGACTTATTTTCTATACTTGCAAGACACCATCAAAGTTTACTCTTTTAAACAATTAATTTCTGACAATGTTGTGTTTTTTCCTTTTCCCCACTATGTGCAACAGCCTGGTTATGGTGATGCTGGAAGTCTCTATGCACTTCAAGCATCTGGTGCTAGAGGTTCATATTCTACTACTGAAGTAATATGTTGCCTCTATTATGTTTGCTGATTGCTTCTTTTCTCTTTTACTGTTTCAGTTGCATTTGCTCAGGTGAGTACCATGGTGGTCTTTATCCTTGCAGGTTTTGTCCTATTTTTATTTAGTTATCATGTTTATGTGTGGTTGATACGTGTTTCTGATTGCTTAGTTGCACAATTATTAAATGTATCTTTCATGACATTAAAAGGTAATATTTACATGCGGTGCTAACATTTCGTTAAATTAGATGAGCAACACTGCAGCAATTGCGGCTGCATTTGGTGGAGGTTTGCCTCCTGGAGTAACTGGTACTAATGACAGGTGCACAATCTTAGTAACTAACTTGAATCCTGAAGTAAGTTGTCATTCTTGCTCTATGTTTCCTTCCTACTGTAATTCATGCAAATTGTTTAACCCATCGGTTCCATAACTGCAGAAGGTTGATGAAGATAAGCTTTTCAATTTATTCTCGTTATATGGCAATATTGTAAGAATAAAACTGCTGCGCAATAAACCAGATCATGCACTCGTTCAGATGGAGGATGGGTTTCAGGCAGAATTAGCTGTACACTTCTTAAAGGTTTGTTTGTGCCTTAACTGATGTTGATCTTCAGATTAACTTTGAGTATTGCTGCATTTTTCTTGAAATGCAACATATTGTTTGGGTCCTTTGAAAAAAATCATATATTCATTTTTCCTGCATTCTTTCATCAACAACTATTTTTCACAGAAACTAATGGCATTTCTTCCATCAAAATTTTCACTCTTTCTAATTGCAGGGGGCATTGTTGTTTGGGAATAGGTTGGAGTTGAATTTCTCCAAGTATCCAAGCATAACCCCAGCAGCTGACACCCACGAATATGCTGGATCAAATCTTAACCGCTTCAACAATAATGCAGTGAAGAACTACAAATACTGTTGTTCCCCGACAAAGATGATTCATGTGTCAGCTCTTGCGCAGGATATAACGGAGGAGGAGATCGTGACCCATTTACAGGAGCATGGAACAATTGTGAACACAAAGCTCTTCGAGGTGAATGGGAAGAAGCAGGCTCTGGTCCTGTTCGAGAGCGAGGAGCAGGCTACCGAGGCCCTTGCGTGCAAACATGCAAGCACCATTGACCGGTCCACCATTCGGATTTCCTTCTCCCAGTTACAGAGTATTTAGAGAGGCCTTATCTTATTTTATACAAGATTGCGAAGTCTATCCGTTATTTTTTTTCTTCTCTTGTACTTGATATTTTCTTCTCTTGCGACATTTGGATGTTGGTGGATGATTGCGTAGCACTTGTTTTTTGAAAATTTAAGCTTCTGTAATGTGAAAGATAATTTGACACGAATGTGTGGATCGACACTGTTGAGTGACAACTTCTCACTTCATTTTAAATGTTGGCCTACGAACTGATTCTGATTTGAGAAAGCCCCGTCAGGGATACGAAGGGCTTTGGTGTCCCTTTGCTAAACTTGAATGCGTTACCTGCATCTTTAAAAGCGATGGCAAGGATGGTGATGTGTTTTTAGTTTGTAATCAGGTCTAGCTGATAAAAGCTGTTCTCGGGTCATAGATAACTGCCGAAATTAGAAATATCATATCCCTTTACTGATAATGTACCGAAGACATAACAACCATAACACGAAGTTGACTATTCCCAAAGGGTTAAAATGCTACAGTGTAATGTTTACAGCTAAACTTGAAGATACAATTTTCACTTGTCAAACAAAAATTAAACGAAATACCTCAAGTGACTTGTTAACGGTAGCAATAAAGAAATATCTCAATATTGAATTTTTCCTCCATCACGACACCACCATTGCGGATATGATACTAGTCGAAGTTGGAACGATCTTAACCCTGCAGCAATTCAGGCACCACGTCCGAATTTAGTTTCATATTCTTTATGGTTCTGCACCAAACACAAGCTGCTATCGTATTCCAGAAGCTAGCTATTCATTGATCTAATCCTTTTTGACTCGTCCATCCACCCTGTTTTGAGCTAGGCTGTTTCATTCTCAGCTGTCTTCACGCGGTTGGCATGCAAGTGTGTGACAAAAAGGGAAAGAGAGAGAGAGAGAGAGAGAGAGAGAGAGAGGGCGAGAGAGAGCCTTCGATTGACTCCATCCATCATAAGTATTTAATTTGTAACACTAAAGAGTATATAGAGGCCATGGCGAATTCCCAAGTATGGTCAGGAAATGAAGATCATCCGTGCACAAGCTCCATTCAGAAGTACACGCGTGCCATGCATGGCACGCTGACAACTGGCGGCCGATGCCGCACTGTCAAATCGGAGGTACACCCAACCAATGCTGTTCCTGCAAGAAAGAAAGTGCAAGGTGTAAGGACACACATACATACAAACATATTAAACAAAACCACAAGGTTCAAAACATATTGAATCACTGCTTCTAGCAGGAATCACAATTTTCTTAATTATCTATCAATTGGTCACATTTGGACTGGGATGCTCTTAGCATGTTAGCCAGCATTTGATATTTCTTGCGATTCAGGAGACATGCAAGCATGAGAAGTAAGGTACCACCAACGCATAGACACGATACAACTGTCAAGTACGTAGATCACATGATTAAACAGCAGCAGTCTTAGTGACAGAAAGTGCACCTTATTGCAGTTCCAGTGCGGTCAAGTTTCTGCATGAGAACAGCTCTTGATCGAGCATCGAGAGACTATATGAAAGCAAAGAAAATAGGCATTTAAGAAAAAATAGGCATTTAAGAACTTATAAAGTCCAAGACATTTAAGAAAATAGGCATTTAACGAAAAAATGGCTCACCAAACCACCACCGTCTTCATCATCAAAATCAGCAGCATTAGTTCCACTATCCTGCGGTCGGACGTCATCCGTGACAGCTGAAACCTGTGACGTCATTACAAACATTATGAGACATTGAAGTCACTAAAGACCAAAGTGGAGGACTTCGTTGAAAAGCCAAAAAAAATAAAACTCAACTAATAATGACTTATTGAAAGAATGTGTTACCACCTTGATAATCTGGCCGGCAATGTCCAACTTCCCATTTAAACTTTGAGCTGCCTTTGCATGCTCAAGTTGTGCAAACTAACAAGTCAGAAAGCATATCAGTGAACAGCATATGCGATTGAACAAAATAGGAAACAGTTCACTCACTTGAACAAATCCATAACCTCTGCAGTGACTGGTCTCTAGATCCAATGGTAGTTGCACAAGCTCTACAGGTCCAAAAGGTTCAAAGATTTAAAGGACACAAACAAGTTCTCACTTCACTTTGTGCAAAATCATGAAACATGTAATACCAAAAGATAGAAAGATCTTAAAAAACATAGATTATAAGTGCTCTGCAGTTGATATGGCAGAAAAAACGATCAGCATTGCATATGGTTATGAATTTTTTTTAACCAGACCACACTGTCTAAACTAGTAAATACTGATCGGTACATACTGGTCTAGGCGAAATCAAGTTCCATGCTTCGTAACCAAATTTATCCATAACCACTCAATAACCTGAAAATTTTAACAAATTTTATGATTTTGTTCAGATCATACAACATTTTTTTAAGAAACCATCAGAGATGGAAAATTTATAAAATCACTCGTGTACTATTTTTGCATAATTTTCCCCTTCAGATTTTGCATGAAAGGATATACCAAAATACCAAAACATTTATTTTCTCTACTTTCCGTGCAATTTTTAAAAGCAAGTATCTAGTTGTACAAACTTAAAAAACCAAAATTTTGCCCAGTTTCACATACAATACTGAATTTCGAACTTTAAATCTCAACAAGTTATTTCTGAATAGCAAAATTATGATTGTAGTTTCACTGTAAACAATACATGCCAATACTCAAATCCAAGGGTCAGAAGAAGCTATACAAAATTAGTGTTCCAAGGCACCAAAGCTTCTGAATGAATGGTTGACAACCAACAAGAGACAAGATAGTCAATTACTTTGTGCAGGAAGTGTAGGAAAAAAATATAAATGCTGGAGAAAAATTCTGATGGATTCTTTCATGTATAAAAAGCATGTCCAGTTCCATTTTGGTTTTGGCTTTCAACAAAAAGTAATAGGCATTTTTGACAATAAGAGCTAGCTTTTCTAGCTTTTTACTAATAATATAATTCATATGCTACAAAAAAAAAAAAAAAAAAAAAAAAATATATATATATATATATATATATATATATATATATATATCCCAGGCAGTGACAAAAGCCTAAGGTTAGATACCCATGGGGCTAGTGGCTAGATTAAATACAACAGACAGGCAGATCGAAGAACCTCCCAGTGGGGCCAACAAGGCACATAAACAACCACCAGTAAGAACCACAAGAAAATTAAAAGCTTCAATACAAAATTGATCAATGTTGAAAATTTGTTTAATTGCATAACAGATAGTATCTTGATTCTTGCAAAATGAATCTCTAACAATAAAACATATTTAAAATGGTGTTCCAGTGTATCTAAGAAAGGTAAAAGTGCTAGAACCCGCATTTCTCTTTTTTCATTTTCAAACAAGAAACTTCTATAGAATGCCAATTTCTATTTGTCTGATCTATTTATGTGTGTTATAGGTATTTCCCCTTGTCATGTGCATTTAAGAAAGAGAAGCAGCTTTTGGGTTGGAAAGGGGTCCAGATAAAAATAAGGGAGGCCATTCAAAGAATATCATCCAATGTGGCTTTCTTGCAAACTTGATTTATGGACCCATGAACAGTATCCACAGATGAATAACACAACATGATAGTTCGTCAAAAGAACTCTTGCACACAAAACATTATTTGTTGGAGAATGATATATTTTGTTTTTGTTGGAAAATTACAACTATGCATAGAATTTACAAGTTTGAACATGCAAAGAGGAGCCACTGTACACCATTACAACTAGTGTTTTAAACCATGGCCCCTATTAATGCCCCCTTAAATCCTGTATGCAAAAGTAGGCCAATCTATGATCCACAGTGGCAAGATCTAGCATAATCATGGTCTGAATTAAGTGTGAAAGTTGCACAAGGTTACAAAAATTTCCTTCAGGGAATTTATGCATGTATGCATGTGGATTCAAAGTTTACAAGTAATATAATTAACCATTTCGTGATTAGGAAAAGTCCAGCATTTTAGTCACATTTACCTGACGCAAATGTTCCTCAGTCATGTTGAAGTGCAAGTTTCCAACATAAAGTTTTCTTTCAGCACCTGCCCCAGTGGCTCCAGCCCCTGCGGTAGTCAACTGAACAAGGTTCTTTTCAGCTTTAGATGGTTTGACCATTACAGGTTGGCCAAGAAGAAGCTGACCAGATAGTGCAATAGCCTGTGGCACTGACATCACATCATCAAACTCGATATAGCTGCAATCCCATCATATACAAACATATAGTGAGTCCCTATAAATCTTGAATGACGTGTCCAATCAGAAAACCAAATATTTTTGAGACCATAAACATCAAAATTGTACCAACTACTTCAAGCTTTATACTAAAAATGGCTTATGTAAATATTAATACAATAATCAACAAAGAAAAAACGAAGTTAACTCTTGCATGTGTCATCCTAAAATTATTTATTGATTTATAAGGAGACTTTGCATGTGCAATCCCAAAAAGGTGTTGCACTCGAATGTATGAACTAGTAAAATATTATTAACATGTTAAGTGCATTGCAAAGGTGCATCAGGTTCTACCAAAGCAAGTCTTAGCCAAAAACATTTTCATCTGAGCCTTGAATTAGAAGGAATATAAAATAATTTTATACATTAACACGTAAACTCAAGCCTGCACTTAGTCCTTGCCTTACAATCAACATGTACCCCTTGATTCTTCTTATTTGCATATAGATGCTTAAATCTCTAAGCAAAGAGATTTTAGGCATCCATTCATTTTACTTATTTATGGTGATAAGACAACAGTGGAGACTAAATAATTTACATTCCTAGACCTTGTCCTAAAAGAGACATGTAATTTCGAGCTATACAATATATTGCTTCTCATCTTGATCATTTTTGTTGTATACCTTAACCATCCATCTTCATGAAAATTTGATGATCACCCATCTAATAGTGAACTTCCATCTACAAAGGCATGACTCTTAAACCCTTGAGATCACATCAGATAAAGATTGTTAATATAAATGGAATAAGAGATTGGTTACATAATGAATGAAAGGAGACTGAAGGAATGGTTTTGAGCATGACTCTTAAACCCTTGAGATCACATAAGATAAAGATTGTTAATATAAATGGAATAAGAGATTGGTTACCTAATGAATAAAAGGTGAAGTAATGGTTTTGAGCAAGGTTCGCATTACCGATCTATACCGATGAAGTAATGGTTTTAAGTAATGGTACATCTATACCGACTAGCTATCGATATGGTATATACCGAGCTGTAACGAGCGTACCAACATATGGTACACTGAGATACCTATGTACCACCCATACCGGTTGGTCCTCTATCGGACCGATACGTACCACCCATACCAAGCGATACGCTTCGATACGTCAAACCTTGGTTTTGAGTTGGTTAGGATCAAGTATCTAAAACTCAATCTGGAATTGATACCTTCAGTCAAACTTCTATGGTATAGATGCCACATCGGACATAGTCACTATGGGGTGATACCAATTGAACTAGCAGATCCATCCAAAGCCTCTTCAACCCAATTTGTATATACATATTTTCACCAGAATAATGAATCAACAAATGCCATTTTCAAACATATAGAAAAAATACACAATAAGACATTTAAATATGCTAAATGACTTTCATATGATCCAACCCACACCTTATGGTGCTTCTAAAAACACCAAAATAACTGTCATGGTGCTTCGGGAGGTTCGTGTGGCTGGATATATCACGGACTTAGTTTGCCTAAGTCGTGCGGCACCCTTGCGTGTCCGTCTGCAAAGGTCCGCCTCCCCGAAACCTCCCATGGTCCCTTAGGACCTACAAAAGAGAAAACGGGTTAGAGAAAGCATCTCACTCGATCCACAAACAAACATTTCAGGAAACACTTCATAGATAATGCAAATTACAAATAGACTTTACAAGCTCTGAACGGTTGCACAATAAAAGGTCAAAATGATCCATTACAGACCGAATATCTCTCGCAAGTGTCCACATAACACAACCTTTATTTACAAGCCTAAGAAGGCCACCAAACCCAACTAAAATGGGGTTGTTAAGCCTTCGACCGTCCCTCTGCATGTTGTACAAAGCATGAACAAACCAAAAGATACGAACATACATAAGCATTACATCAAACATCCTATTTAGAATTTTGTCCGTGACATTCTCCCCCAATTATTCCTACGACGTCCTCATCGAAGCCTTTGCCGACACTACAACTCCTCGTCTTCGCTGAGTCTTTAATCTTCTGCTCCAGCTGTAATGCGCCTCTTGGCTCCCAGTTGCTCTCCGCTGCTGTTGTTGAGTGGTCGAACTTTTGATCCGCCATGCTACTTCAACTCGCCAATGACTGACTCTAGTGTGGGGTTGGCTGAGTTGTGCTGATCTCTATTGGTTCTTGTAGATCTATCAGATGAAGGAAAAGACCATCCTTACTATGCGCCAGTCTCTCAAATGCCACATACCGCTTGAACTGGGTGGATGCTTGTTAGAGCTTTAACGAGTGTCGCCTCGCAAACTTCTGAAGTTTTGGGTCCTTCCTCCACAAAATTTACCTATCGACTCTTTTTCACTTAATTGTCACTTCCAAGTAGACTCATATAACTTCCGCTTTCGATTGTCATTATGTTGGGAAATGAAGCGGATAATCTACTCTCAGTTGCACTGATCACCATTGGTGAGGATTTGACAACTATTGTCTTCCATTGTTTTCGAAGGGTCTTTGAATCTATGCATAGCTCATCTGCTGAATAAATAAGAGAATTGGAGCACTCGGTTTCGCCTATTCTCTTAAGAGTTAAGAAGGCAAAGGTTACTTGACTTCGCCCGCTTCCTCGAGGGTTGTACTCCATGCATCGAGCTGATTACTGTCTTTCGCCTACTCTTTGCTCACACTTCTGAAGCACACGAAGTGTTTGCACTCCTTGCATTGAGTTAATTACTATGATTCACCTTCTCAATGCCATCGAACTTATGGAATCCAAGAAGTTTTCACCCCAACTTGGAGCAAGTCTCTTGTAGTTTTGGTCGCCTCTAGGATTGTACCGTCTTCTCCATCAACCCTACCGCCTACTCCACTGAGTAGTAAAGGTACAACACCATGTACTGCTTGCTTCGTTCCTTGGTCGTGCACTCTTGCACGACCCGAAGTCCTTCACTTTCGACTATCTTAATGAGAAGCTCGTTGATACCGGTCTTACGAAGTTCCTTGGCCTCTGCCCTTCAACCTTGTCTTGGTACTTGAAGTTTGCCTCTGCATGCTCCACCTCTTCGGCCCCTTTCACGACCAAGCACTCTCTCTCCATGAGAGTAAGGGATCGATGACTTCACGGAAGTCCCGCCTCTGCGATACCATAGCACTACCATGCTCATGGCCCTACTATCCGTCACCTCGCATATGCATCCCTTCTTCACGATCGGTAGATCTGCCTCTGTGACACTCCTTCGAGTCAACCTCCATTCTAACCGATGCTTTATTTTGGGTAGCTAAACTCGTCGTCGATTCCTCGCCCCTTTCGACCCCCTGCTTCAACACCTCTGTGTTCTCCAAGTAGTTCCCCTTGGTCGATGGAAAGACAGACTACAACTCCCATGCATGGCCTTTGCCATAATGTTGTAGGGTTTGCACCGATTCTGTTCTCCTTAGCTTCCTTGGTAGCAATGTTCGCTTACTCGACCTTGTCCTCCGACTTGTCGAGCTTCCTTAAGCGAATATAGGCCCTGAAGCAGTCCAACTCTCCAGTTATTTCGATCATACCTCTGCATGATCAAGTCCCTCCCATGGGACTCACTGGTACTTGCCTTCGAACTTTTCCCTTGGTGGTACACAGCTCCCATATGCTGACGATCAAGGCTTTCATCCAATGCAAAATTCGATGTATGCACGGAAGACCCGCCTCTTGGTACTATGGCTTTCGCTCCTTGAATCCATAGTCCTTATCGTCGTGTTGTTCACCGAAGTGAAGCTCCCAGTAGCTCCCGATCATACCTCAGTATGATCTAGTCCCTCACGGGACTAGATTCGTGTGTATCGTATTGCCACGAACTATTCCACCACGATCTGTTGCACCATGTCGCCTCCTGGTGACATCTCCATTGCATTCTGATCCTTGTGGGATGAACTCGAATTGTGATCCCTCAATGTGTGGCCTCTGCCAACACATCGCATGGTCTCTACCATCTTCGATTTTGTTCGCTCCTTTGGCAATCGACCATCGTCCCCCCGCTCTCGGGTCACATCTAGACAAAGCACTGCTTTAGGACAATCCGTCACCTAGTAGCTCCTGAAGTCCACCGACTTCAATAAAATTTGTGCACCATTGTCTGGATCCTGGGCCTCTACCACTACCTGCACAATCTCCGCTACGCACCGCTTCCTTCCTGGCAACTTGAATGGCAACACTGTGGTATATTCTTCAAGAGTACCCGCCTCCGCGTCCTATTGCCCTGTGTCAAGGCCTTCTGAACCCAACTTCGCCTCCACAAGTTAAGTCGCCTTAGTTCCTCCATCAAATGCTTCTCTGAGATAAGGTGCATGTGCTCAGAAGCTCCCTTTGTCTTTGGCACCATGCAAGATGAGTCTACGTCCAAGGAAAGCTCTGTGCCTCGGCTCCATGTTCCATCTTCTATGCGGGCTCCATTCATGCGGCTTGGTTACTTTGCCAAGTTACACCCAAGTTGCTCCGCTCCTCATTTTGCATTGAGTTGATGGTGGCCCTGACGCCCACTATTCCATGGGTCAGCCCACTCTTGAATCTGATCTTCATATCGACTCTAAGTGTGTCTTTATTTGTGTTGCTTTGGGTCGCTCCCCCATTTAATCTCGCAATGCATCCACCAATGCATTCTCTCAAGCGAGATCATGCGACAACTTCTCGCCGCTCGCTCGGTCCATTGAGCTTCGTGGAGTTGTTTTTTAGGTGCTCCTCAACATGTGCGGTCTGTTGCATATGATTCTCCCTCTAGAGAGTCGGGACTTATCCCTCTTGGATATCTATCCCATTGGAACAACATCTCTCTTCGTTTCCTTCTCTCTGAAAGTTTCGGAGACCACCATCCCCTTGGATTACTCCGATTTGCTGAACAAACTATGCATTGTTCTACCTCCTGCAAACGCACTTGCTAGATTACGACTCCACATCAATACAGCCCCCGCTGCACCACTCAAGACCTAACAACATGCTGAACCCGCTGCACACTTCAGCCTCCTACAGACGTATCATTCTCATGTCGAAGAGAAAGTTTCAATACTCCATGACACCGAGTTTCAATCGCCTTGGGATGACCACGAACATTCCATCGTCCGTATACAAGCTCTTGCATGAATACCAAATTCTTCGAGTTAACAATTCCCCTCACTTCTGTGAGCTTTGCACAACTCTTTCGGTCGCTGAGCAACCCGTTCCAACTTACATGGTCTCATCCTTTACCAAGCGCTTCGCTTGCCTTGAACACCATCAAGTATAGTTGTCAACGTCGAGCCGTAGCTCGAACTCAGCGATCCTAACCTTTATGCGCTACGCATTCTTCCAAGCTTGCTTGTTCTCGTGATGCCTCTTGCGTGAAGGGTTGGCCATTCCTCTGAATGCCAATCTCAGATACCCGCTCCTCCGAGCGACTCCCTTTCCCTACATCTTCATGCTCATTTTCCCCCAAACGATCGTGCGTGCTGGCTGCCCTCAACACAGCCCTGCTAGGTCCCCCACGTTTGCATGCCAAGTGTTTCTACGAGTGCTTGTCCCGCTCTGATACCATTTGTCACGAACTTAGCTGATTTTGCCTAAGTCGTGCGACACCCTTGCTTGTCCGTCCGCAAAGGTCAGCCTCCCCGAAACCTCTCATAGTCCCTTAGGTCCTACAAAAGAGAAAATGGGCTAGAGAAAGCACCTCACTCGGGATCCACAAGCAAACATTTCAGGAAACACTTCATAGACAATGCAAATTACAAACAGACTTTATAAGCTCTGAACAATTGCACAACAAAAGATCAAAATAGTCCACTACAGACCGAATATCTCTCACAAGTGTCCACATAACATAACCTTTATTTACAAGCCTAAGGAGGCCACCAAACCCAACTAAAATGGGGTTATTAAACCTTTGACCGTCTCTCTACATGTTGTGTAAAGCATGAACAAACCAAAAGACAGACATACATAAGCATTACATCAAACATTCTATTTAGAATTTTGTCCGTGACAGGATGTCAAAGCCAAAAGCTATAGAACTCATTCATGATATTACTCCTAGAACATTTAGAATTGAAACTATCAAGGTTCATGTAGACCAATTGAGAAATAGTCGAGCCACCCTGCTCATTAAGTGGTAATGTTGATGGTTTCAGGTAACTGGTACTTCAACTAGTATGTATTGCTGGACCAAGTACAAGTGTGACCAAGATGGCTATTAAGGATGAGAACTGTTACAAGTATATTGTGGGCCATATAAAACCTCTGATTCAGCAAACTTGGATAAGTTATCAACATAATATCATGAGCCATGAATTCCATGCTATTGAGAAGGTTGTGGTCATGGAAAACTCCTACCAAACTCGATCTCAGCTAAACTCTCTCTCATTTCCTCAAAGTCATCAATTATCTTCTCCCTCCCTTGCCTACCCATCAAGTTCCGCTATACTTGTTTCAGCTTTAGGCCTTTCAGCTGATCTAGTTTAGCCTACAAGCCTAGCTGATTTCTGGAGCATGAGTAGGTAACCTAAAGAGAGGGTCAAAGCTGTTGAACAATTATATACCACTAATAATGAAGCTTCGCTTGAGGAATACTAGTGCAAAACGATCTCATATAATTGCCCAAAACAAGCCAATATGAGATATAATGGGCATAAGAGAGTTGATTGTGAAAAACACCCAAACCAGATTATATCCTAGCAGGTTGCAGAATAAATGTGCAATCACCATATAGAAACTATAAATAATTTTGAATGTTTACTTGAACTAGGCAGTTCAAAATAGCTAACCAAAATTCGTAAAAGGGAAAGCTATTGATGTTACTTCTATGTGCAAGTTTATCATGCAACTGTTATACTAGCTATAACATTTGATATGCTTCTTAAAATATAAATACAAAGTCTTACATCTAATTTGTATTCTATATATTGCATGGAACAATACTTTTTTCATGAATATTTATGTTTTTCGTCTCTAAAACCGAGTGCAATTAGAGTACGCCGATATTAAACAAGCATTATGGATGGATCTTGGATATCATCACATCAGTCACACATAATGGTAGAAATGTAACAAGTACACAAAGATACAAACACAATGCTATGCAACCAATTCATTTTAACTTAATTAACAAAAAAATAAGGTATTGATATGATTAGAATACATCCATCAACAGACACGGCTGGTTGCACATGACTAAAGCAAAATAAAGAGTAAAGAAGAGAATCAAGAGTGATCAAAAGCATGCAGGTCATGCAAATAACATACTGTTGGTTGGTGATGATTTTCATTCAATATTATCCTATCATACACTTATATAGCTAGTGATCACAAACCCTCATATAACATTCCCTTCAAACAATGGGATAACTGTAGAACTGCATATCAAATGGCTACAAATGAGCAGCTATGAAGATCATAAGTTGGCCACGGGAGTGCAGTGAAGTTCCTCTTGAACTGAGGACTGATGGAAATGACTTGTAATAACAATGGGGCACAAATATAACAAGCACTATATCTGGTTAATGGTGAGAGCTTTGCTTTACACAAAAATGGGACAGGCATCCTGTTATTTGGAAGTGAGGCAATTCAAATGGAACAAATTTAATCAAGATAAAGCGATGGTCAAGTGATGCCAATGGAAATCTATGGATGAATAAAGATGGCCCAGCAGGGACATAAATGGGCACCAGAAAAAGAAAACCAAACCACTTTTTGTTTAATATGGTGTGTATATATGTATCAAGATTAATTTATCATTTAGCACATCAATAGATACCTGTATCTTCTCTTTTGTTCCCACAAGCAATTTAGCTGTGCAGTGTTTGTCAACATACAATAGAAAGTACCTGGAGCAATCACCAAAGACAAACTCCAAACTTAACAGGAAAGTAGCATAACCTTGAAACCAAGAGTAGATTGTAAGTCATTACAAATAACATATACATGCTCTTCTAAAAGCAGATGGTCATTCAGCAAGGTACTGTTAAAATACAAATTTGCAACAATCTCATATGCCAACTCAGCGAATTTTCAAGTCAATGTAAATTAAATGAATCATGTGAAACTTTAGCAAGCGACTATATTAAAAAATGAGCTCAACGTGCTATAGCAGTTAGGACAGAAGTCCTATTGCAAAATTTGAAAAAAATAAACAACAGAAGCATACCCCACTCCTTTCGACCTCCTTGAATTACGATCCATGATCAATCTGACATCCCTCACCTGAAAACTAAAAAATGTGTTAAAAATGCATTCCCTCACCTTAATGGCATGAGTAACAGCATGGGTCAACATGCTCATTACAGTTTAAACCAAAATAGCCAAATAAAAGCATGTGGGGCAACAACAAGGCCTCATTAAAGTCAGGCATCCCGGATATGAGACAAGTGAATTTCAATGACATTCAAGAATACTGTATTGGGCCATGAACTGTATACTTAAGTTCCAATTTCCTCATACTGCAACTATATAAAGAGCAAATTGCACAAAAGTGGGATGTCCACAATGGTAATATGTAAATACCTTCATTGTATATAGTATGCAAATTCAACGATCTACATATGTTTGTTGTATGCTATACGTAAACATGCAGCTAAACTTAATCAATTGCATAACAAGCATCAATATATTGTCTCCTTTATGGCAATTATAAACAAAAAGAATCATAACCTTTCCCGCTTGCGAGAAAAATTCATAAACATCTCTTTCAGTCACCTTCAATGGCATCTGCAATTTGCAAAGTAAACAAATCAGAAACATATCATGTGTCCATGAATGGAAAGTTACTTCTTGAAAAAAGAAAAGAAAATTTTATCTGCACGCCTGATATGCGAAGACAGTTCTCTGGTCCCTTTCTGGATCAGCTTCAGGTTCCATTGATTCTTTAGGTATCGGGAAATTTGTGCAGTTAGTAAACAACATGTCAAAAATATTAGTATCAATATTGTTTTAACTTTCAGAAATAAAATGAAAAAATAGTTACATTCATGAGTAATCAGAGGATTTGAAAAAAAAAAGGTACACACATGACCAAAGAGATAAAATGGTGTGACTTAACTTGGACGTGTATTTGCATGATCTCTACACTTGTAAAAATGCTGACATGATATTTTTTAGGGGAAAACGTTTAAAAAAAAAAACTCACCCCTAATGGCCAAGGACACAACAAAATCACACTAACATAAGCTTTAGAACATGTGTTGAATGTAATGGAAAAAAGGGTGCATCAATCATCCAACTCTCATGCTAAGACCGTGTTGTAAGCTTCAACAAAAAAAGCTTTACTCTCAAGCCCGCTCACATTATAATAATAAATGGTATTGATGCAAGGAGAGGGAAATAGACATACAAACTTTTTCAATAATCAATGAAAAATCATGGCTCTTCATCAAGTCAGTGATATCAACCTCAGAAAATCTCAATAATGAAAAAGACACTTGTATCAAGCCCAAACAGTCAAGACCATAGCGGTCATTATTTTAGTCTATTTTTGAACAAGAACAACTAGACCCTAGAACACAGCTTTCCAACATAGCAGAAACACCATGTCCAATCATGTAAAAGTTGCATCCTTTGCTCTTCCCACTATCACTTGGAACCATAATCACCAAACAAAGTTTCGATATCGCCATAATTCCAAATAACATCCAACTTATCCATACAACATATGAAAATCAACTTCCTTGGTTGTAATGAGGTCAAAATTACTGACATTGCAAAAGTACCTTTTAGGTGTCAGGAGTGTCCATAATATACATAATTCAAAATTTTCAAACTTAAAAATGCATGCATGGTTTAGTTAAAACTAAGTAGTGATCCTTGATTATTATATTTAGTTCCCTTCTCCAAAAGACACCTCCTAGGTACACAAGTCTAGGCAAACAAATGTGTGTAAATAGTAAATAAGAGCCATTTGTCAAGATGCATTCACCAGCATGACCAAGCTGCTATCATGGTGAATTATCTAGTACAATAATAAGTGTTCTGAAGCCCTTGCTGACACTGAGAATCAAACTCTAGTTTCCATAGCTCCAAATGTCCACAAAACACCCCACAGAGTGCATTCAAGCAGACAAAATTCCAATGGCATTTGACATCAAAGAAAAAACAAGCTGAACATGTTTGATGTGCTGCAGCTGGTACGCTTGACACTATTTGTCATTGATTCCCTTTAATATGTGGTTCCTTATTTACAATTAATAAATATTAGAGATAAGAATTTAGGATCTCAATGGCGACAAAAGATCCATATAGCCGACCTCAAATAATTAGGACATATGGTTTTGTTGTTGTTTTTATAGAAATAAGGCCTAGGATGTGCTTGAGTTCTACAACAGAAACAGCATCGTGCTTCATACATCTGGGCTAGCATTACATACAGAGTTGACTTCTTTACTTCCACCCAAGAGTAAATTACACCAGACACTTCTAATGTTTCATTCAGAAGCAGATACTCATTTGACAACTAAATCCTTAGACTAAAGACAACCTAATCTCCAAAATAATGACAAGCCACATATAGATACTCTATTACAAAGATAGTGATCTCACTAGCATGGATTGCTAAACATTATGAAGCATGACACTCAACAATTTTCGGAAATGCTTACTAAGTTTAAAGGAAACTCTGCTAAAATGACAAAATTTCCTTTCAAAATATACAATTCTAAGAATTTTAGACTGTCATATAGTTGCATCAGATCGACCAATGGCAATAAAAAGAGGATAACTGAGGCTTTATGAAATATAATTTGTACAAATTATTAGTTTATTTCTCTTTTTATTGCCATTGATCGATCTGATACATTTCTGAACTTAAATGCAGGAAATGATAACACCACTGAACTTCTAAATTCCTAACATCCAGTTTTCACTTTATCAGGATGCCTAAAGATAAAACCTCTAAAGAGCTACTTTAAGCCATTATTTCTATTCTGATCTGCACCAAGCTATAATCATCGCAAAATGAGAAATCCGATACATCACATTCTGTGGACCTCATGCATCAAAACCCCAATTCATGGCAATCCCAGTAACACGTATTTCAAAGAATAAAAAAAACGCATCAAAAGCGGAAGCAAAGAAAGTGATGGTACCTGCTTTCCCTTTCTCTTATCTCCCTCTCAAGTTCTCGTTCCCTCGCCCTCTCTCTACTCCTTGCTCTCTCCAATTCCCTGTCAACTCCCCCATCGTGTCTTCTCGACCGGCTACTACTACGCCGTTCGCTCTCCCGATCTCTGTAGCCCCTCTCGCGGCTGCGGTGATCCCGACCCTTGTCGCGATCCTTCCCGTCCCGGCTACTGCGCCGGCGATCCTTCTCGCGGCGATCGGAGCGATCCCGATCATCGCGGTCGTCCCTGTCGCCGTTCTCCTCCCCCGTCCTGGATCTCTTGGACAACCGGCCATCCTCGCCATCGTCGCGCTCGCGGTGGTGCCGGGAGCTCGAGCGTTCATTCTCCTTCCGCATCTGCGGCTCCTCCACCGCCTTCTCCAGGTATTCGCACTCCTCGAGGGTTTCGACGTCGAAGACAGAAAACCCTCAAGAACGCGATCGAATACGAAAAGGCGCGCTACCCACGGACTATCTATATGCGTGCGTTCACGTGTTGCGCACGCGATAGGAAGCTGGTATTCACGTGTCTTCCACGTGACTGGAGAGGCTAGGATTTTGCGGAAGGATAAAATTAAAAAGAAAATGAGATTAATGGTGAAAAAATTAGGACATAAAAGATCCAAAAATAATTTTATTGCATTAAAGTAATCCTCCATGCTGTGGAATTTGATGGTTCACATCTCACCTGAAGCTAAAATATGGTTAATTTAAGGTTAATAATTCTAGTTCAAAATTTCTCTAAATGTCGAATGCAACATTATGTAACTCAAACCTTTTTTTTTTGTTTTTTGGAATTAAATCCATCCCAAAATTCAGTGACATTCATTTTTCCTGCCAATGAATTTTATTTTCGTCTTGATAAAAAATTAATCCGCTTTCTGATTAAGCTCTAAATTGATAGTAAGATGAAGGATTGAATTTTGTGTTCACTATTCATCTTTTATATAACAAAATCAACTTGTTAATTCGAGTAAAATCAACTTAATTGTTTTTTTGTCCTTTTGTTCCCCTTTGAAAGAATAATTATGAGGCATCAAAAGAAAGGAAAATTACATAGTACAACACGCGCACACGCAGACCCTTCAGGAAGAGCATTGGAACGGAACCGACGCTCGGCTTCAGCTGTCCCCAGAAGATGACGGAGGAAACTGGCTTGAATGAGTCCATGATGTCTCAGGAAACCCCGACGCCCCGCCCCAGATCATCTGCCGCTCCGTTGGTGTGCTCGAAGCGTAGGATGGAGGATAAGAGGAGGAGGAGGAGGAAGAAGGAGAGATAACAGTCGAAGATGGAACGGAGTTGGCGTGAAAGGACGAGGCAGGCAGAGAACTGCTGTCGTTCACGCCAGAGTGCACGAACGGGTCCAACAGGCTCGCCGGAGGGAGCCTCTGGTACTCCGAGGCGCCCTGCAGGAGCCTCGAGTACGCCAAGTAGTCGCTCACGGCGCCGGAAGAGGTAGCGGGGGAGTTGGACGGCGGCACCTGCGCCGCCAGAGCGACGGAGTGGGACGGCTGAAGGCGGACGTTCTCGGGGAAGTTGAGCTTGGCTCTGCTGCCACGGAAGCGGAGGGCGGCCTCGTCGTACGCCCGCGCCGCCTCCTCGGCCGTCTCGAAGGTCCCCAGCCATACCCGAGCAGCCTTGTAGGGGTCGCGGATCTCGGCCGCCCATTTGCCCCACGGCCGCTGGCGGACGCCGCGATACTTCCTTTTCGGCGCCGCCCTTTCCCTTTCCTCTTGGTTCGAGGAAGCAGGGGAGGCCTCCTCCACGGCTGCTGCTGCAGGAGCAGGGGATTGCAGCATCGGCAGAAATGCTTGTGGATACTGCTCCACTGCTGTAGATCAAATAAGCATAGAGAATGAGTGGAATCTCCATTAGGAAGGCAGGGAGGGAGACACAGTAGCCACACTACGGATTTGTGTTTGGAGATGGGAGTCTATATGTCTACATAAGAACACGCAAGAGATGAAAGCATGCATGTTCATAGAATGTGATGGTTCACATTTGATTTCATTCACAAAGGAGAGAACAACATAGAATGTAAATGACATCTGCAGATGCTGCTATTTTCATGTGTATTGAGGAAGGAGAAGAACACAGAGTCAAACGCAGATGCTGCTACTACTGCATGTACATTAAGAAAAGTGATGAACGCAGTAGTTTGCATACAAGAAGTACATGAAATCATAGAAGAAGAAGATGAGCCAAATAATACATGAACACAAAACCAAGAAGCAGAAGCAACAGCAGGAACATCAACAGGATTCAAACAGAGGTCACATGAAATCACAAGATGAGAAACAAAACAAACGGATGAGAAGTAGAACAACACCTGCAACATCGGGTGATGCTCCGCCGTAGTAGCTCCCGAACTCGCCAAGACATCGGTAGTACCTCAGTGCCAGGTGAGACGGCAGCTCCGGTCTCGTTCTCGTCTGACTACTTGCGCCGCCACTTTGACCACCGGTCGATGGCGAGGAATACGACGGAGGAGGAGAAAAGATGTAAGAGAACGACGAGGAAGAAGAGACGGCCGACATGGAGTCCACAGCCATCGGAACTGGCCTCGGCCTCTGCTCGCCGGCCATGACGCGTGTCAGGGCCGAGACCATGGTGGATGTCTCCCGAGAGCGGCGATGACCCGAAAGCAACGCCGCCTGGGCCGTCACCGAAGAATACATCATCCCCGCCGCCGCCGCCGCGTCCTCTTCCATCTCATCGCTCCCCGCCGCAGCGAAGCTGCCGTCCGACGACTGGTGTGGGTTCGCCACTTTTAGACACATGCATGAAATCACTCCTCGAACTCCTCCGCCTCCTTCAGGGAGATGAAGACAGCAGCTCATATAAAGAGAGACACAAAGTGGATTCGAACTCACGCGGCCCATTAAACAACGATCGGATTGGCACACGTGCCCGCCGAAATTTCTTGGCCGTGTTCTCATGACGCCGAGCTGCGGGTGGAGGAGATAAGCATGGCTCCTGCGTTAACCGAGCCTGCATGCCTTCACGGCGATCTTATCTACAACAAGACACTCCATAAAACGAATGGGGGAAGTGTGAAGGAAAGAATATGCCGTTCACACAACCTTTGACCGGTGAGGTTGGGTGAGAGGAAGGAGTAGGTGGTGTTGTGTGATGGGGCTGATGGAGAGATGAGAGAGAGGAGAATTTGGATCGGACTTTGTGTTGCCGACACGAAGGTGGCCCGTTCATTAATTGTTCTGTGGAGTGAGATTAAGCACGATTAGCTTCTTCTACGTGCAGATTATGCTGCCTTGAGGTTCAATGGTTGAGCTCTGTTATCTCCCTTCTTCCTCTGTTTTGCATGTGATTTCTCCTCTCTCTCTCTCTCTCTCTCTCTCTCTC